GTTGCATGCAGAGAACAACAGTAGCCACTTGTGACCTAACATATACCAAGGCAGGACATTTTCAAGTAAGCACCAGTTCAGCGGTTTTAATTGACTTGTTTAAAAATGACTTGACTGTATTTAAAACTTATTATATATATGTAAATATGCACCATTACATCCAAATGACAGCTATGAGCATTGTACAACTCATAATGCAAAAGCACATATTATCTTTCAAAATGGGGCCCAGGAGTGGAAAGTTGGAAGGACAGTGCTGAGGTCCTATAAATTCCCCTGAGCAAAAAGGATACTTCTAGGTGGATGAATCCTGATACTTCCAGAATATGGTTAACCCGTTGATCTATTTAATGAATATATTTTTAATTAAGGGGCAAATATAGAATTAATGGAAGCCACAGATGAAAAGAGTAGCATCCTCTCCATTCTATGTCTGCTGCAGTGCATTAGATACATTTTCAGTATTTTTATAATTGCAAAAAAAGTAAAAAAGGATTTACAGTATTTTATCTTTCACAACAAAATACCTATCATCATTATCACCACCATAATTTCCATGTATGCACTGCCTTTCTGAACATATGTAATTCATTTTCTTATTAGGCTAGAAATGATCAAAGTAAAAAAAAAATCTTAAAACCAGCACATTAACAAGACAGTCTTAAACATGTTTATTTTAAATACATCCTACTACTATGGAAAGTCAGCTTAGTGTAGTGGTTAATCCATCAGGGTAGAAACTGGGGAGATTGTGAATTCCAGTCCTGCCTTAGGCACTCTCTCTCACCCCCAGGAAGGAAGCAGGGAAAACTTTTGAAACAATAAACTGCTAGAACTATGTGAGGAAGTCACCAGGAGTCAAGACTGGGTCTATGACAATTTGCTGCAGCCAACTTGCTGCAGTGCGGGACAACTTGCCATAGCCAACTCATCACAGGACAACTCACAACGGGACAAGAGTTACACTAATATCAAAGAAATGGTAGAGTAGAATAATTAAAGAAAAGATGCAAAAGGAGGGACAAAATGAAATGTGAATGGCAAAGATTAAAATATGTTTAATTTATTTTAAATAATTAAATAGAATTATTAAATTGTCCCACAGCATCTCACAGAGGTTGACCATGGCAAGTAGCCAGCACAGTAGAGGGACTGGGGAGGTGCAATTGGAGGAAGAACAGAACAGAACACAACAGAAAATAACAAAATAGAATAGCAGAGTTGGAAAGGACCTTGGAGGTCTTCTAATCCAACTCCCTACTCAAGCAAGAGACCCTATACCATTTCTGAACAAATGGCTGTCCAATCTTTTCTTAAAAACCTCCAGGGATGGAGAACCTACAGCTTCTGAAGGCAAGCTGTTCCACTGATTGATTGTTTTAACTGTCAAGAAATTTATTCTTGGTTTTAGGTTGGATCTCTCCTTGACTAATTTCCATCCTGTTACCTTTCCTGCCAGCTTTTCTATTGACTTGTGGGAAGCTGTCAGGGGCCTTTGGAAATGAAAATCACATGACCTTAGCTCACCGCAGTAGCATAGCAGTGCTGAAGTAGCAGCAGTGTGGTAGCACTGAACCAGTCACAACTTTCCCAGATTTCATTCCTCTGGGAGTAATGGGTTCTGCCATGGGGTAAGCCAGCCCATTTGAAGTACCTTGATACAATGATTGTTGCCCTGTGATGCACCATTTCCTCTTATTGAAGGTTACAAACGAACAGACACAAGAATTTTGATAATATACAGATTCTTACAATACTGGCTTATTATGATGTGTGAATATTAGGTTGAAGTCTAAGCCCCAATTATTATGTCTGGAGGTAGGGACACACAGAAATGATTATAGCTTTTTCAAAATAGAGCCAATTAAAGTGTCTGTTAAATAATAATGCTCATTATTAGACTGCAAAAAGTTATTAAGAAAAGCCAAATTAAGAAAAGCTTGTGGATGGGAAGTGATTAGGACAAACAAGTCCTTCCATGTTCAGGTCAGCTGTTAAGTGGAAAGCAAAGGGAAGAGGTGGCAGGCTGAGCCTTTGAGAAGAAATGGACAGGGAGAAAATTTTAGGGAATGATTTCTAGACTGGTATTTTTAAGAGAGAGAGAGAAAGAGAGAGAGAGAGAGAGAGAGAGAGAGAAAGAGAGAGAGA